ATAATAGATAATGTAAGACGTTTCCGAAAAAATTCGAATGAAGATTCACTTGATAAAAATAAGAAATTAGAAAAAGATGTAGAAGAAATAAAAACCAAGTAGATATTTTTTTTTAACTTGGCGAGGGTTCCCAAGATATAAATTAAATTTATTAAACAATAAAAAAGGAATAAACAATGAATTTCTTTAAGTTCTTTTCGTTTCTGATCTAGTCTGTAATTTTCGTAGCATTTTATTCTAGTCTTATTAATTTATCTACTTGAAATTATCTTCAATCAAAGGTCAAAAACACAGAAAAGTATTGTCTTCAATAAATTAAACAAGAAAATAAAATATTGAGATAAACCTTGAGTGATATGCTCGAAAGAGCAATAGGTAGGTTAGGTCTAGTCCTTACTTCTAGATTCAAGTCCCCCCACCACGCATTTCTGAGTGAGCGAACCTGGTAGTTTTATAAACCTTGGGTCACTGCCGGATCTACAGGGCCTTTCGGTATGAAGCCCTCCCCAAAATTTAATAAACATTTTTTTATTATAAAATATTTAATAATTACCTCTAAAAGTATTATTAAAAAGGAAGGAGATGGTCCGGGGTTACGGTCATAAAAAGGCTAAAGAGTGGTAAAACTATTTTATTGAAAGCCAACGTTTCGACCCGACTTTGCAGCTCTTCATCAGGGCTAGAACGGACAAGATACAAAAAGATAGAGAATTGTGGCAATTACATAATATTTAGACATAATTTATAAACAATGTGAATAAGCTTATTAGAATTATAAACAGTAAGTACAATAAAATATGGACTAAGTAAGCTGAGTAACAAGATCCTAAAATAAAGTAAATAGATGCTAACAATTGTTGTAGTGTAATATATAACAAATGAAAATGTTTTTTTTTTTTTTTCTCCTGTAGATTTTGTAGAATTATACTCACATTTTCATTTGTTATATATTACACTACAACAATTGTTAGCATCTATTTACTTTATTTTAGGATCTTGTTACTCAGCTTACTTAGTCCATATTTTATTGTACTTACTGTTTATAATTCTAATAAGCTTATTCACATTGTTTATAAATTATGTCTAAATATTATGTAATTGCCACAATTCTCTATCTTTTTGTATCTTGTCCGTTCTAGCCCTGACGAAGACCTGCAAAGTCGGGTCGAAACGTTGGCATTCAATAAAATAGTTTTACCACTATTTAGCCTTTTTATGACCGCAACCCCGGACCATCTCCTTCCTTTATAATGCAACGGTCAACTATTAAATATTCAATAAAAGTATTATTGTTCGTGTAATTACATTTAATAGTACTTAAAGAATCACTTAAACTCTATATCATATAGATAGTTAGTTTCTTTATTTTAAAATAATTATCATTATATATTTAAAAAAAATTAAAAATATTTAAATAATTGAAAAAATAAAAACAAATTTTTACTGCTAATCCTGACATTTTTTTTCTTTCCTATAATTTTATATTACATTTTACAAATATTTTATATTACACCAATTAAGAAAACCTAAAGGACATCTTATTCGGTCAATAATGAGTTTCGTCAATATATTGACCGGGTAAGGGCTATATTGAGCAATATTAAACCATATATACGGATCTTGAAAATCACTGGGTGATACCAAATTTCTTGCTAACATTTTTGAATAGGGAGGTGATACTTTGTTTTAATATATATGTTTTTGAAGAGGGTTTAACTCCCATCAGAATTTTTTTTGAAAAGTTAAAATGGCAATATGTTTGGATAGGTGGGTAATACTTTGTTATGTTATTCATGAAATCAGATATCGTCGATTTATTCCAAGAAATCATTTAGTAACATTTAGAAAATAAAATGAGTGAATAATTTGATGATGTGAGTAATAATTCAATTATTAAACTGTTCAAATAGACTGATGGAGTTATGAGGTTTTATTGCCTTCCCCCGATATAATAAATAGGCTTTGAGTTATTTTGATGGCCTTGATGAGTTTTAGTATGGATAAAGATGACCGAAATTCACAAATGTGTTCTTAAAGGTTTAGCTACATTAAAAATTCACTTTAAAAACTTTTTTTAGTACCCCAAGTTTGCCAGACAATAATTTCTATTCAAAGTTGAGTGGCAAGTGAAAGTTGTGTGTAGCGCTCACCATATGTTATCTATATTTATTTAAATATAATTCTGCAATAAAACTATTTTGGGTTGGCAAAATTCTTATATTTGTCTTATTAATTTTCCTTGAATATTCCCTACTCCAAGTTACAGAAAAATATTATTGAATAAAAACCCATTTCTGTTTTCTGTTTTACTTTTTTATTATTTATAAAAAAAATTATTAATTTAAGGCTTACTAATTTAAACTAAAAAAAAATCTGGTGTGTCCACTCACACGTCTTTCCTACCTATTTCAGAAAAGTTTTTATATCTTTACATATGTTCATGAAGAAACAAAAAAGAATTGAACTAGATACATCTTCCTGAAAATTGATCAAACATAAGATTTGAGTACGATTTATTTGATAAATTAAAGAACTGTAAACCGGCTTAAGGTAGATCAGTGTAAAAATTTCAATACTTCCTAATATTGCTGATCAAAAGCTTTTTGGCATAGCTTAGTATTGACAAACAATAATTTCTGTTAAAAGTATAGGAAATAGAGAAGGTTATGTGATACGGGCAACAGATTTTCTTACTTCCACTTAGTCATCTTTATTCTCTCATTCACCCCTTTCTGACACCAGGATATGAAACCGTAATCTTATATTGGAAATTGAATAGCTGTAACTTCGTTAATAGTTTTCCAAAATGAACGACTTTTATATGGCTTGTATGCGTTGTGTTAGTAATTTAATTACCTTTCAAAAGTTATATTATAAATTTCACCGTATAATATATACTTAGGGAGTTAGGCCCCATAACATTTTTCTTTTCTTTATAACTTTTTTTCCTGATTTTTTGGGGGAATTTAGTCTATATACGAAAATTGAAAAAAAAAAATGATTAGAACATCATAGGATAGTTTCATCAAAATCGTTAGAGCCGTTTTTAAGCTACAGTCCATAGAAAAACATGTTTTTCATTTATTGCGCGCAAGCTATTGCGCATGGAGCACCAAATTTCTGTCACAGGCATCAGTAGTCAAAACCCTACAAAATAAAAAAAAGAAGCAACAAAATCGGTTCAGTAGTTCCCGAGAAAATCTTGGCACAGACAGACAGACAGACAGACAGACAAACAGACAGACCAATGGCTAAAAATGTGTTTTTCGGACTCAGGAGGCTCTGAAACGTATAGATCCGTCGAAAATCGCATGTAGGAAATTTGATCCGATTGCAATACTTTCCTTACCTATTATAGGTAGGAAACTAATAACAACACACGTAAACACATTGATTCGTATCATAATTTTTTATAACGCCGCATACGCTCATTTCTTTATTTTTTTTAATTATTATTTTTTCTCACCATTAACCCCTTTTTAATGTGAATATTGGAATAAATATTTATTTATCTTTTTGTAATAGGGCGACGGATATTGTCCCGAAAGTGTATTTAAAATTATATTATCATATATTTAGGCTTATTCTGCGATGTATTATCGCGTTTGTGTATACGCTTCAGCCCGGCAGTAATACCCTGTCTTAGGGATTAACACACCAAAATACTGCGATAATATTGTTGGGTCCTCAGTCTGGAAGTAGCCTTTGTCAAGATAGTAGTGGACGACTACCCCCACCAGTTCAGACTCACTTCACCGCATCTTCATCTCACCTGCGCCATTTTGAAGGTTCCAGCTGTATCATCGCGAGTCATCGGTCAGTATGCATGTATCATCATATGCATATCGATCCCCCCACCATCGACTGCTGTGACAGCTGAAATTCAGGTAACTGACCTCTTTGGAAATATAGCCTCCAATTTGGGATATTTTGGTTCAGATTCTCTCACCGTTACCACAGACATTTTTTTTCTCTTGGTTTACCATAATTTTAGAAGTTCATTTTAGTTATATTTTGCTATTAATGGTTATTTTGGTTTTATTTTCTCTGCATATTATGTTTATGTTTTAATTTTCTCGCAACTTTACACCAATATTTATTTTAACTTTTGTACATAATTAGATCTTTTTTTATCTCAATAAACTGTAAACATTCAAAAGGGTTTTTTTTATTTTCCATTTTTTTTATTTATTGAAATATTTCTATTTTTTATATTTTCTTGTGTATGCACATTTTTTATGTTTTAGAGGTCTCATTTTTACTCTTTTTATTTTTTCCTTCTTTCCCAAAATTTAATTTTTCTCGAATTTTCTCACCTTTGAGGAACGTCACCGGGGAAGGGTTTGTGTTTTAATTTTGAAATACCCCCGGCCCCAACAATTATTCTATACGGACCCTAGAATGAAATTTCAGATTTGAACAAAATGTAATGTAATGAAACCAAAAAGCCTTCTCATTCCGATGGAACAAAATTCCAAAGGCCCCTTGGAACGAGAAAGACCGTTCGGGGCGGAACCATTACGAACCCTTCCAGGAGTGGAAAGGGATTCAAGGCAACTAGGAACGAGAAAGAACGTTCCGGATGAAACCATTCCGAACCGTTCTAGGGGTGGAATGGAATTCTAGGCAACTTAGAACGAGAAAGAAAGTACCGGATCGAACCATTCCGAACCCTTCCAGGGATGGAATGGAATCCAAAGCAACTCGGAACGAGAAAAAAAGGTTCCACATGGAACCATTCCTCGAACCGATTATAGGCATTTTCATTACGGGCAGTTTTCACTTCGTTCTGCTGTTGGAATGTGACTTAGGTTCCAGTACATTCCGTTTTCAAGTGTTGTTCGGAACGAAGGTGGAACGGAACGAGAAGAACTGGAATGATAATTTCATTGGTGGAACGTTCTGTTCCGTTTCGACCTTCAGTTGAAATGTCCCATCTCTAAACAAGTGTGATGTGAGATCAATGACATCAATTGAAATAAATATAAATTAAATAATTGATTATCGTTAAATTAATCATAGGACCGTTAATGTTTTATAAAATATATTTATCTACAAGATTAACTGATTTTTGCCTTGATTTTGATTTAGGAGTCTTTGAATACATGATCATTTTGGAACATTATTTCTTGATCAATTTAATAATCCTTATTCTGTTTGTTAATTTTTCTTATCTAAGTAATGAATGAAGCATAATCAATCAGTAATCAATTATCATAATAAGATAATGGAGGAAATGACTTACACATAATCTAACCGACTCTGTGAAGAGCGATTCCCAATTGACAATTGGGGGCTGTCCAGTTCATACTGATTTTCGCTTTCTGTTTGCCTGTATGGAAATAGTATTATTTTAATCATTAGAAAAATAGAATTTAGATAGGCATAGCTATATCATAGTTATGTAGCAATAATAGATATATCTTTATTCTAAGGTGTCCCGTAAAAGGCGGGGGGGGGGGGAGGAGGGGAATGGGAGGTAACATTTAAAGAGGCGAAAGTAGACCTCAAGATCAACTAACAAGTTTGTAAAGAAGATGCTGTTATATTTGTTTGAGGATGTGAAATAAAAACAATCCAATGCATTCAGTTATTGAAACATATAATTCAAAAGACTTTTGAATTTTCTTACATTTAATACAATTCCGGTACGGGACGAAAGTGAATAATACATTTGGTCAGTCTCTGCATGCATTACCATTTCTTGTTAGGAATAATGCCTAAAATAATGCCAACTTAAAAAATATTTTTTTTTTTTTTTTTTTAATAGCTTATTTATTGAAATATATTACAATCTGTCTCAGGGACATTAATAATAGTGTTCACAGATCACATTCACACTCTATGTACAGTAAATAAAATAAATTATACAGAAAAATAATATATATATATACAATAAACAAGAATAAAATAACCTAAAAATAAATAAATAAAAAGAGCACATGCACACCTATATACAATATTTACAACTTGGCGAGAGAACTCCAAACCAGACTTGTCCCTCCAACTGTGGAGGGAAAAGTATGACTCCAGGAGTTCTCTGCACTCCTCTCCCAACCGCGTCACTAGTGCTAAACCCAGTGGAGATTGAGCAAGAGTGCTTTAGCCACATGCACTCATGTCGTGAGTGGAGAATCTGGCCATTGCCAGAACTCCAATATTTACAAACTATAAAAGATCGCGGGGCCACTGCCGTTTTAACCTCCTTGGAGGATTACATGGATGGGTGGTGCTGGATAGAGATTTTGCAAAGGGATTTGGATGATGGGTAAGGTTCTGGTGGAATTTGGAGAATTTTGCTGGGATAAGGTCTAGGACAAATGAGATATTAAGGTCATGGTGTAGGGTTTTGTTGGTTACATAGAAAGGAGCATTGGCTATTGTTCGAAGGACTTTTGATTGGAAGGATTGGATGCGTTTGATGTTAGTAAATTTTGCTGTTCCCCACAGTTCAAGTCCGTAAGTCCAGATAGGTTTCAGTATTGTCTTGTAGATCAGTAACTTGTTTTCAATGGAAAGTTTTGATTTTCTGTTTAGTAGCCGGTATAGTTGTCCGTATCGTCGGTTTAGTTCCTGTCTTTTAAGTCTAGTATGAGGGTTTCACGTTAGTCGTCTGTCTAAGAGAAAGCCAAGGTACCGGACTGTGTCTGAGAAAGGAAGCTGAATGGAATTAAAGTGTACTGGTGGACAGGAACTGCGTCGGAGCGTGAAGGTGATGTGTTGGCATTTGGATTCGTTTACTTTAATTCGCCATTTATTACACCAGTGCTCAATCAGGGAGAGATGTCTTTGAAGGTTTAAGGATGCTATATCAGGATCTGAGTCGGATGATAGAATGGCGGTGTCATCAGCAAAAGTTGCCAGGAAGGTATCGGGATGGACAGGGATATCAGCGGTAAAGAGGATGCAAAGGACGGGACCCAATACGCTACCTTGAGGAACACCTGCCTCAATCGAATAGCAATTCGATAATTCACTACCGCAGCGAACTCGGAAGGTACGATCTGAGAGGTAGGAACGGAGGAAAAGGTACAAGGACTGAGGAAGATAGGTTTTCAGCTTGGAAAGAAGCCCGGCGTGCCATACCCGGTCAAAAGCTTGAGCTATGTCCAGAAATGCACCCGAGCAATATTGCTTGCTTTCCAATGCTGCGGAAATATGATCGACCACTCGGAGTCCTTGTTGGACTGTGGAGTGTTGTGAACGGAATCCGAACTGATGTGAAGGAAAATTTTGGGATTCTATAAAGGCTAGGATTCGTTTCAGGAGGATCTTTTCAAAGATTTTTGAGAGAATCGGAAGTAGGCTAATTGGTCTTTAGGACGTTGAGGTGTTGGGAGGTTTGCCTGGTTTCGGAAACAGGATAATAGTGGAATGTTTCCACAAGAGAGGAAAGTGGGTGGTTCTTAGGATGGCATTATATAAGTAGATGAGAAATATAACAGCTTTAGGAGGAAGTTGTCGAAGGATTTGTGAGGTAAGGAGGTCGTATCCAGGAGATTTACGGAGAGCAAGTTTTTGTAAGTGATGTTTGACCTCGGAAGGATTAACTGCTTTAGGTGGCAAGGAAAGTGGAATGGGAGATGTAAGGAATTCTTCTACTGTTGTGGTATGGGTGAGGTTGGATTCCGGATGAGAGGTAAAAAAAAAAAATTAAACATAAAAATAATGATGATTATTATCAACAGACCAGAATCATATTGTAGACAGAAAAACGGGAATTTTAAATTTGTGTTTTTTGTATTGTAGGAAGTGATGATTAAAAGTAATGTTAAATTTAAATGTAAATACCAACTGGATTATATTCATCTGGGCAAGAGTATCTTCAAATCAAAGGATTTAAACGTTTAGACAAAACCATAACTTAAAGACGGATAATATAAACCAAACTTGTCAAGAGATAAAGATTGATAACTGTACCATTAATTAATGTAATATATTTTCATTTATATCTAATAATGTGAACTAAAGAGAAAAAAATACCAGGCAGTTTTACCTCTTGATCCGAAGGGAATCTTGGTGTGCTGTAACATTACATTTCTTTTTTTTATATAAAACCAAACCACATCTTATAATCATAATAATAATACTATATATTTTTTTAAATTACGGATATTTCTTTCTATCCAATTTAAACTATTTTTATTTTATCACACAGTTAGTAATTTTTTTATATTAATGTTTATTTTTTTATTATTTTATTCTCTTAATGTATCTCGTTACTATAAAATATTAAAACGTGATGCTTAGAATTTATAAAATATGGAGACAAACCTTACTGAATTGATCAAATGTCAATAAATCCATAATTAATTAATAATTTTTCTTTCGGAGATTCAAGTCTTCTCATGAAAGTTAAGAACACTTAATCAACTTATTTGAAGACTGGACATAATTAACGGGCTAAGTGCCAAAAAAAATAAAACAGACAATTTTACATAATTTTTAATTTATACCACAATCACGAATATCGTAGATACGAGCGTAGTGCCAACAATTTGTAACTGAGAAATAGAGATGGATGTATAATTGACTGTTGAATTTTTAAGGATAAAAAATGGTGAGGATGCCTAGTCAAAAAATTGTTTATTAAAATTGCCAATATTTAGTCTTCCGAGTAGAGATGGACCTTTCCGGGCGGAATGGTTCACGGAACGAATTCCACAATCGGCACTGTTCGGAACGGAACAAGAACGTAAGAAACTACGTTGCTATAGCAGAAGTGGATTAGCGGAATAGTCCAATTGGTTGTTTGCTTCAAAAGTGAACCATAAATAAATAAATTTAATCTAGTGTTTGATACGGAAGATTTGTGTTCATGCAAGAGATTAAAACAGTTTTGCTTGTATTTTACGTTTTACTCATTGTTAACGCTGCATACACTCATATTTTGTTTTTTTATTGTTATTTTTTCTCACAGTTTCACCCTTTTAAATGTTAATGATGAAATGTTTTTTTTTTGGTCAAGAAAACTGAAAGACAGTGTCTCTATAATGTATTTCAGTGTATATTGTTTATATATTTAGCTTTATTCGCGATGTATTATCCCAATTGTATATGTACCCGGCAGTAATGCCCAGTCTTGGGGATCAAGATATCGAAATAATGCCATAATACTGCCGGAAAGTCAGTCTGGAGCTATCTTTCGTTTGCGTTGGACGTCTTAAAGATTAACACACCGAAATACTGCGATAATATTGTTGGGTCCTCAGTCTGGAAGTAGCCTTTGTCGAGACAGTAGTGGACGACTACCCCCACCAGTTCAGACTCACTTCACCGCATCTTCACCTCACCTCCACCATTTTGAAGACCACAGCTGTGTCATCGACCAGGATCGATATGCATATCGATTCCCCCCTCCCCATCGACTGCTTTGACAGCTGAACATCAGGTAACCTCTTTGGAAATATAGCCTCCAATTTGGGATATTTTCGTTTTCTTCTTTCACCGTCACCACAGACATTTAGTTAAATATTTGTCCTCGCTATATTTATTTCTCTTCACTAAATTTATTTTTATTGGATGAAATAATCTTTATTATTGGGAGTTTATTTTTATACATGTTTTATTTTGATGGACAATCTTTTTTATTTTTCATTGAGTATTTTCTTTATGTTTTAAAATCTTCTATGTATTCAAATCTTTTTTATTTCAATTCAATAAATATTGTGAAAATTTAGAAGGGGATTTTCTTTATTTACTTATCTTAACATCTTTTATTAATGGAGGAATTTTATTTTGTTGTGCATGCAATTTTCATGTTTTACAGGTCTCATTTCCGCTATATTTTTCCCTTCTTTCCCATCTTGCTCAAATTTTGCTCGAATTTTCTCCACCTTTGAGGAAACTCACCGAGGAAAGGTTTGTATTTTCAATTTTGAAGTACCCCTGACCCCAACAGTCATCAAGGAAAAAAGTCGCTTCTGTACTAGTCTATCTTTAGTGAAATCAAAGTGAGGGGTATATCACTTACTATCTGATTACTAAACTAATTTTCATGAAATTTTCTTTGATTGCACAGTGTTGGATGGACCTATATCCAATTTCTTCAAATTCCATTAAGTACTTTTAAAACATACATTCGACTCATGGAATCACAGTTTTATTTGACTGGGCTCTATTTCAAGAATTGGATATCCCCACCTATATTAGGCACAAACTGGCATGAAACAATAAACTACCAATGTTATAAAATATAACATTCAATAAAAAAAATAAATAAAAAAAATTAAAACATATTTAATTTTAAATATTTACCGAAGTGGGTGGACGGAAAAAGGCGATTTGTGGTTGTTTCGCATTCCATTCATAGGAACAAAAATCTTCCTTCCAATGTGGCTCTTGAGCAGGGACTGAAATCTTAGCGATCAATCTTTTTCCCGTGTTGCTATCGTCTTTAGATACCTTCCATTATTATCATAATTAGTAATTTATAATTAATTTGAACCGAAATTATTACAGCTTATTATTTATCAATTTTTTTATCATAATATTTAGCATCATATTTTTAATCACGTGTCGCTCACCTAATCACATTAACACCTAAGCGAGTACCTAAACTTAATAATTTGGTTAAGTGGTCTGGTCGATAACCATGGTCAACGGATGCTGATTTTTATCATATTTGTCAAAAACTGAGTTAAATAACCATAAATGGCTCTGCAGCTTGGAAATGAGTTCTCTAAGAGAAAAAACTTGTGGAATAAAAGTTGTAGAGCATCCGATTCCGCGCCAACTGAGTACCAAAAAAGGTTTAATGTAGGTCACTTACACCGCTCGGAATCAGTAATGTATAGAAATGAATGGAAATTGGTAGTGAAGATATTCTGGATTTTAAATATTGCAACAGTATGGGTATCTATTCTACTGAGTTACTCTTGTTAAGAGTTTGCTATATACAGTGTAGGACTCTTTTCCATTTCTCAGCAGCGAAGGATTTTGAATCAAAGAAACTGAAGAACCATCAGGATCCGACTGGCAGCCTTTAATTTTTTCAAAGGCTTTCAACATTTTCTTAAAATAATATCGATTTTTCATACAGGTTTCGGATTATTTAGCTGTATGTTAGGTGGAATCTCGAGAAAAATATGAGTATCCGAACTTAGATTAACTACAACCGATCTCTTCGGTTTATTAGCAGATTGAATTTGGTTCGCCAATTCAGATGAGGAGAAGGGGGAGTTTTGGTTGAAGTCTCTCAAAATCGAAAATATATAGTTTTGTTTTTATTGGTTCATATTTGTTTTTGTAGGTGACGTAAGCTAAATACTTAAGAAATCGCAATTTATTCTTTTTTGAAATTATAATGCATATATAACTAAAAAAAAAAATTAAATCCTATATCCGCTTCTGGTCGAAACTATCACGTCTTTTTAGAAAATAAATACAGAAATAAGCCTAATTTTTATGTTTTCAACCAACGTTACTTGTCCTCTCATTTATTTGTTACAATTAAGTAAATAATTACGACGGCTAGGAATTAAACGATAGTGCCTAAGTTGTAACACAACTGAAATCACAATTACATTTCTATTTGAAACGTGTTTCTCGATATCCTACGTCTTATAATAAATAATTAGTATAATTTAAGGATTACCTATAATCAAGTCTGTTTTACGCCATATTAAAAAAGAAATAAATAAAATCATCTTCTTTAGTTTTTCTCTGTAATTAGCTTCCTGTACATTTAAGGAAAAAATATATAGTTTGGCTTCTTCAGTCATTGAAAATGCAAATGGTTGTAAGGACTCTACTACTTTCGGGATTCCATTAAGGGTCAGGTCAATTGCTCCAACACAGTAAAGCTTAGATTAATCGTTATCTAAGATTAGATCAAGTTTCATCCGTCGCTCAAACGAAGCTCAGCTTCGCAGTCGAGTTTAATCTTGATCGGTCAACGGTGGGCGTTTAAGTTTTACTTCTAAGGAAAAACTTAGTTACCTAGGGTTACCATTGGCAACTATAGTAACCTTCCAAGCTGCTGCATCGATTGTGTTAAACATTTTTATTTATCTTTTCTCTTGCAAAAATGAATATTATAGATTTTAACGACATCATAGATGACAAGGATTTTAATTGCATTTTTACTAATGCAGAAAAAAGTATATTCTGATGAATCATTAAAAAAGATGAATCATTTTGTCCATTGGTCTGATAACAATTTTTTTGATAGATTTAGATAGACATTTTTTTATATAGCTAATATTAATTAACACAAATTTATTCAACTTTGACTTTCGTTAAAAAAACACGACGTTGAGAAGCTCACAAGAAAAACCTACTAGTAACCTCATAAATCCTATCTACATCTCGATTTTAATTTGACTTTTTACCAACCGAAAGTGGTGATAACAGAACTGAGCTGTTACTGGTAGATTAATCTCAGATAAATGAATCTTGGTTAAAACCGTGAATTGTGCAACTGGCCCTGACAGTGAACTCGAATTGATCTTGAAGTCGACATTTAGGGGAAGCGATTTTGAACTAAATTTTTTTTATTCATTTTTTTTTATTACTAAGTCGATCGGAACAAATAGATATATATTACATGGTATTATAATTTGACATTTTTGTATGTTTTTCTTATTCTATTTTAGTATTAACATGAAAGATTGCCCCGGTTGCACTGCCCTAAGGCACTGTGTGGCACTGCACTGTGTGGTATACTAAATTATGTTTATTATAAAGTATCCGATATTATTGTAGAATTATTTACTATATTAAAAATATTTTAGAATAATACAAATAAAAAAGGTATGTTGTAATACCTCATAATTGAAATAAAGCCTTATGACTATGATGCTCTTGAGGGTGTACCGCAGTAGACCCAAGTTTCCCGAATTTACTGGGATTGTTGCAATTGGGCCGTTCGGTTTCATGACGAGCCCCCAACGTATTTTTTCAGAAAGGATACGGGAAGCATCTAAACAGAAAGTGATAACATTAATATGTTTAAACATGATCTTACTATTAATTTGCCTATAAAAAAATATATGGTATATCAAGCCTTCACATTGACCAATACCTTGTAAGAGTCATTTATTAATTGTACATCAACATAGAGTACAATATAATCCAGGAATTATAATTTATAATTAAAAAATCAAGATTGAAGCGAGTTCCGTCATTCTGATTGATAGTAAATAAATAAAGATTGAAAAAGAATACAGTACTGATTATAATAACCTTAATATGTATCGAAGATGTAGAAAAAGTTAACTTAATAAAAGATATTCAAGACAAACCTTCAAAGAAACTGAGGTTATGAAACCCTCTCCTCTCCCCATTATTTTATAAATATTATAAATAAGCAACGTCATATAAATATGCATTTACAATTTAAAATAATATTGAGTATGTAATGGCAGTGTGTGTTAGGGTAGTAGGCTCAAATAAAAAGTATCCCAAGTTGGAATATGTTATATGAATCTCGACTTAGCATAACGAATTCTTTTATTCAATGGCCATCGAATGCTTTTTAGATTTTGATGCTAAATATCAAGATATGAATATATATTTATCAAGATATGAATATATATCAAGATATGCTACAGTGATAAACTATTCATATTTCCTGAAGTTTTAGTTATTAATGAATGGAGGAGGGGGGCTTTCGAGCTGATGCCCCCTCTTCTCCTCCACTCTCCCAAAAAGGTAAAATATTACAACGTCTTATGAAAAAAATTATCTCTATAAGTATTATTGTTCGTGTAATTACATTTAATAGGACTTAACAAATCATCATCTCGTATAGGTAGTTAGTTTCTTTCTTTTTCTTCCAAAGTAATTATCTTCATAAATTTAAAAAAATAAAAATCTTTTGGGCCGAATCTTTTGGGGGGAATTGAAATCTGGATCCGCTAGTTTTGGTTTACATAAAACATTACGTTAAGAAATTCGTTGACGTATTGATGTCAAATCAAACCTATAGCTCATTGTTATTCAACTAGCTAATTGAATTTCGTTTTCAAAGCGATTCAAATCCCAGTGGTGTAACCAGAGTGGTGTACGGTAGCGCCCCGATGCGGTGTCACATTGGCACACCATTTCCTTCCTACTCCTTTTAAAAATGTCTATTTACAAATAAAATCATTATATTTTAGTATATACATAGAAGGACCTAAATGACATAAAAGAAACACTTAGCTTTCAACTCTAATGACTTGATAGAAATTGCTACACTTCTTTATCCTCAACTGTTAATTTTGTAGGTGTCCATTTATTTTATTTCCTATTTTAGTAAATCGCGGTTAAAGCAAAAACTGCTTCATGTTATTTTTACTCAACCAAGTCTTAATGAGTTCAGCGAGGAGCGGCATGGCATGAAATTTTTTAATTAAGATCAAAGATCAACTTTAAATTTATTAGCTAGTTTAATTTTTATTTAAAAAAACATTTTATTTAGCTCAACCAAATATTACACAATTTGTCTTAGCTGATCTTGCTTTATCTAGCACTGCTTTATTTAAATTTATTTTCATTGCAACCAATTGTTTGTGCCAAAAATGGTTTGAATTTCCCGCGTTACGGCAAGTGGTGGGGACAGATGAGAGGATCTAAAAGATAACACTTAATCCTCAAGAACTGCCGGTTTCTCGCGGCACTTCTTCATTGGCAGCGACTCTGGATACACCACCACCGGCACCTGAGGGCCCTCAAGGTAACCAAACGGTGTAAGCTGGCATAAAGACGGTAAGCTATTTTTTGCACAATCAGCATAACCTACCAATCCATTAAGATACAATCCACTGCATGAAAGTAGAATGTTGCCCATAATTTTGAATGTTGCCTTATTGAAACTCATGAGAGTTATTTTGCCATAATTGGAAATGTTGCCTAAACACCAATTATCAAATCAACTTGACTTATTATTAAATAATTTTCTCTGTTATTATAGAATATTATTTAATTATAAATAACAAATTATTCAAATCAATTTTTTAAAATATTATAACTAGGTTTTATATTTTCTTTCATTTGCCTTAATCTAAATCCCGAAATATACTGAATTTTACCTGGCTCTTGCTTGTCGTTTGCTAGAAATTCTTCGTATTCAAATTCCCAAGGTTCTTTTTTCCTCATTTTTTCGGTATGTTTACGATTGAGTTTTTCAGACTGGAATCAAAATGGAAAGTAAAAAAAAATCTAAATTTTGACATTACTTGTTTTTAATATTATTTATGGAATGTCTATTTAATATTTATATTTATATTATTTTATTTTCTCAAATAGTTAAACTTTCTGGAGGATATTCGGAGGTTGAGAGCGTTAGTTTTCAAATAAATGATAGATTATTTAATTATATAACTATGAATAATTGATTTAATTTCTGATATACTCTTGTTTTCTAAATAAAATATTTCATCATGTGGTTTTTTTTCTATCTTTAACTAATATCGCATTAAAATTTTGGAAATTGATTATTATTTAAATTAATATTGATTTTTACTTGATACATTACGATATTTAGTAAATAAATAACTTGCATGCTTTAGTTTTTTAATTGTAAGTTTTAATATTGAGAATGTTCCTCATTTCGAGGATCCTTATGCTGACATCTATGGTTTATCTGTAAGTTAGATGAGTTCAGTATATGTGTCGTTTTAATTTATTAGTTAGCCTGGAGTAATTTACTGTCACTTTTACTACATGCTCAAGGATAGCTTCTGCCATACACCTTAATCGCTCCCATCGAAAGTTGGAAAAATTTGGCGAAATGTTAATGTTGTTTTCGTCAAGGATAATTCAAATAGATAGATGTTCTATTTATACATTGTTAAGTAAAGTGGACGAGAGTACTGGATACCCACACACCACTTATTTGTAGATTTCAAAACAGCCTACGATGGTGTTCGGCTTCGATCTTTATTCTAGAACATAGAAATATATCATCAATCCGTCTGGTAAAAATATTTATTAATGATTTATTTAAACTTTTCCCGCCTTGGAGGAAATACTGGTCTTTGCAGTACTGAGCTGTTACTATGACTACATAACGTCTCACTCATACAATAAAACCTATTTACACGTTATAATTCGTTCTGCATACTGTATAAATATTCATGTTAATATTTAAGGTTTCTTCTGCTCTTCCTATACCTCGTTCCAGTAGCCTTCCAGGAGCTGGTCCTCTTCTTACAAGGTTGAAGTGTGATTTAGTTACCCGTTTGAAAAGATGAATTTTATTTCATCTATCACTAAGCCCTGGTGGATGAAAAAAAGAACTAATCAGATCCAGGCATCTGAACTGATTTTAATATCAAGTTCTTAAAAAGCATCTAATTTCTGTAGGTTCCCTACAAGTAGTATTAGGAAGTAGGGGGGAATTTTTGACAGAATCTTATTCTATTGTTGTTCAAACGTCCTCGGGTATTCATTTTTTGAAACTCTTTATGAACTAAATATAAAGATTTACAATCTTAATTTGTTTTCGGCTTACATTAAACGATTATACAATAAGATAAAGAGATTTACCTTGGGCGATTTACGTTCATGTAATTTCTGATCAGTATCCTCTGGGACCTCTTGAGGTGGAGGGAATTCGTCGGCTTTTGGGAACAGTTTGCATTGCCTCAGCAGTTGAAACATTGCGTTACATTTTTTCTGCACCTTATGCCTAGGATCCAGAAGTGGTAATTCAACCTCAAATTGGAAATAGCCTTTCAGTTTCTGTAGAAATTCCATATTAATTTTAGTAGTTACTAGCTGATGTACCCTCAACGGGTGTATAGTTAAAATTTAAGAATCTTTTTTGAGATTGATTTTGTATTATGTTGAGAGGAGGGTCCAAATTCAATTTCATAAAATTGGGTCGGGATGAGAGAGGGAAGTTGTTTTGATTTTTTTATGGTAGGGCTTATGGAAGTCGAGGTATCGCAATAGTCATAAGAAAAACTTTGTTATTCGACTATTTGTTTAGGTACCACACAACTAAACCGATCACAACCGATCCATTAAAATTTGTTGTGTTTAATTTTCATTTATGATGAAGCGAGGAGATTGTGAAGTTGATTGATAAGTTAATTGATCAAAAAGAGTTGTTGTATCTTCCCTTCTTTAAACTCTTCTGAGTTTATCGCTGTCAAAATAACCAAAATAACATTGGACATTAAATCACCTACATCCGTGCAAAATTAGAACTTGATCTGAATATTATGGCGGGCGGGGTGAAATTTTTGGAGTTCTTCCTCTGATTTCCGGCTAATCCGTTTGGTAAATCCTAAAAATGTATACGACAATATTTGTTAGGCTCGGGAAGTTGAATTGAATGACACCTGAACGGGAAGATCAGACAAAGTTAAAAAATGAGTGTGTTTTAACCGTTGTATGCGACAACGCGTTACAGATGTTCGGTATTCCGGATTTTTCCCATTGAGTTGTGATAATTTTTCCCTCAGTTGACTAGTACAACTTTTAAATGTGGCTCGCGGTGAAGTAGGTTGGGATTAGAATCGAAGTAACTGCCTAACCGTGATCTCTAAACAAATTACTCAAGAATTCATAACTTTGGTTCTACTCAATATTTTGTTTTCATTTAAAGCCTATATTTTAAGTCAAGCAAACTTAAATGTAATGTAAAAATTTCAAAAGTCTACCATTAACCATTGCCGAGCTTACCCCTGATAAAATTTCGTTGGACAATGCGGACACCCAGATAGACAAAAAATTATTTTAAAAGTGGATTTGTTGTCTGTACTGTATAAAACGGAAATATATCATGAAACGGGTTGATTCTATTCAATGTACAGACGAAACCTTTATTTTATTTATATAGATGTTATTTGACCTATAAACGTATGTTCATTATTAACATTTATTATCAACATTAACCGAGATCTCTAGCCAAATTACTCAATAATTCATACCTTTGGTTGTGCTCAATATTTTATTTTCATTAAAAGCCTATGTTTGAAGTCAAGCAAACCTTTAAAACATTTAAAATATTATATCCCCACCATCTGCGGCAGACTGTAGATGAACGGCACTTAATGATACGAACTTCGAGTGGGTCACTTAGCTAACTAAGGCCGGGCAGACACGTTACGATAATACCTTCAGGTAAACCGAAAAGGTATACACGGTGGGCCAGACACCCTTACCGTGCACCCCCCCCCCACCACATCCCTATAAATTGCATATCGTTGTGTTCCTTGTGACAATTTACTTAAAAAAAGCCAATGTTCCCACAAAAAAAAGTGAACGAACTGCCCCAAAATGGCGTCCAAACATGGCGGATTGACGACTTTGACTTTAGTTAGTTTATTTGTTACTGAGAATCAGCATTTGGCTTAATTTCATCATATTTGGTTTTTTATTAAAGCTGGATAGTCAGAGAATAATAAAACATGAAAAAATATCAAAAACTAATTGGTTTAGGTATTAAAAAAAATCAGTAAAGTCAATTATTTTAACAAAAAAATTTTCAAGTTGAAAATCAGGCGTCGTTTGTAATTAAACGGTCAACAATAATGCAAAATGTGCTGAAATAAAACATCTGGGGAATACATTTTTCTTTCTAAAACACTGATTATTTTTAAAAATATTTGAAGTAGGTCTGTAGAAAATGTACTTCAGTGGCAGAAAAGCGCTACTGGCGTAGGTGCCTTCAGGCCTCTACCACACCCCTCAGTACTCATAAATGACTTAGTTATAGTGCTATAATAACGTTTTTGTTATATTATATTGGTTGTATTAACGAACAAATATTAATACAATAATTTAATTGTCAAAAATAATTTTTTTTTAAATTTATTATTATTTTTTTTATTTATTTTTTAAAATTTAACTTCCTTTATTCTATACAGAGGTCGCTTAAGAAGGCCTCTATTATAAAAATTATATAATTATAATAACAAAACTTAATTCAAAAATACTTTGCAGAAAATCTTGAATTTTTTATTTAATATTTGCAATTTAACATTTTGTTTTATATATTTACTGATTCTTAGAGGTAATTTAAATTGTATATACTTCCCCGGAAATGAGTCATATTAATATCTGTTTTATAAACTAAAATAATATATACCTAATCTGAACTACTTTTAATGAATAGGTGATGGATTGTTTAGTAAATTTTTTTGTTTTAATATATCGCTATTCAGACAGATTGTTATAATACTCAATAAAGAAATTTAAAAAAAAAAAAAAAAAAATATATCGCTATTAAAAAAATCCTTTATTTCCTTTATTTTTTTCGGAAGTTGGACCATTTCACAAAAAATACGAAATTTTAATATTAAATGCATTATTTTCTCTGCACAAAATAAATATGGAAATGGCGAAGCTATAAGTTCTTATAGGTAACTGGAACTGATTGTTAGTATTTGGTCTCAAAATGAGGGAAAACGCGAAATTTAACCCAAACATTGGAAAAATATATTAAGCGAACTCAAAGGAAGTGCCAAAATTTCGGCAGATAACAAGGATCAGAAAACAAGGATCAGTATCTATTATATGGCTAAACGAATATATAGTAGACAGATGAACAGAATATTTCAAGATGCTGCTAAAAGAGGGTCAAAATGCTTGATGAGTTTGGATGATATTAAGCAGGTTTATTATGGTGAAGACCACTTTATCAGCAAGAGGGATTTGTTCTAAGCAATTGGCAAGTCAGCTGGTCTGGAGGAAGTGACCCGAGATGCTGTGCGTACAAAGGCTACAAATGTATTAGAAAATGATATGAAAGGACTGTAGTTTTGTCCCTTTACAGGAAATGAGATACTAGGAAATGTTATTCGAGATTCCTTACTGTTTATAGTACCAAAGAAAGTCTACTCAAGAATCGTAGAAGCTAAAATAAGAAATATTGTCGATTGTCTGAGCGATATGGATTGAGAAACCTAAGTTGCACATTGGAACATAAATTGCAAATTGGGAATGTCTTCACTTTAAGGTAGGTTATAGAGAAGTCCACAGACAAAGTGCACGCTATGGCAAATCTGAACTCACAAGGGAAGACTACAAGTCAATGGGTCACCGATTTCAACCAATATTTTTTCGGTGATTCTACATCGAAAAATATTGAACACTTATCCCGACGTTCGTTCCCAATGGGCTCAAGGAGCCAAAAAATTTTTTTTATAATTTAAAAAAAAATTATGTTATTTATTTTTGCCTTTGCTTTGCTCGGATTTATAGGTTATTATATATCAATTTATTTCCTTTTATGTAAAGAAAAGAATAACATATTGATTATTGTATGAAATGAGTTGTAATCTATATAAATAAAATAAAGATTTTGTCTATACATTGAATAGAATCAACACGTTTTATGATATATTTCCGTTTCATACATTGCAGACACCAAATCCACTTAAAAAAATTTTTTGTCTATCTGTATGTCCGGATTGAAACGAAATTTTGTCAGAGGTAAGCTCAGTAATGGCTTATTGTACACTTTTTAAAATTTGATATTATATTAAAGTTTGCTTGACTTAAAGCATATATTATAGTATAGTATAGCAGTATAGCAGGTAAATTTTTGATATGAAAAAGCATGTTAGATTCGTTTTTAATGTTCTTTGAAACTCTTTGAAAATTTTTTAAAGAAGTTTAAAATTTCAAAATTTAATACTTGATCTTCTTAGAGAATTTTTTTTTCCGGCTAATAACTTCAAGCAATCATAACTTCTCAGAATTTTCTCCAAATCCAACATTTGCACATCAGTTGGAAAGCTAAATTACCGCTCTTCTTATTCACATTGATAACTTTTAGATTTCATTGTTAAACTAAAAATTAAGAAAACATTCTCAATCATTTTTAAATTGAATTTTTTAAGTAAATACCATTTCGTGTAGCCTAGTAGCCTAACTAAGTGAATCGGTATAGCCGTTCTAAAGTTATCGCAATTTTAGCGGTTGTCGACAAAATTTCGTAGGGTTCAGCCTAGGCAAACATTTCGTGAAGAAAATTGTAATTTTTTATTGCTGTAAAAAATCATGTTTAAGTTTTTTTTCTTCTTAACAAAATATTTACTCCCACATTGTTACCTCGGTAGATCAAAATTGTCTCCAGAGTGTACCTACCAGCGAAATATAATATTTATTCAAAACCGGTCTGGCATCTAGAGTAAATACTTTTTTAAAGAGAAACAAAGTTGATATTAATTTTTTGCACCTTAAAAAAAACCTAAAATAATAATTTCTTATAAAAATCGAAAAAATAAAATCATTTTAACGAAATCTTTCCCTCTACTGGACCCTCCGAAATTATTTTAATAACTTTAGAACAACGATTCACACAAACATTATTAGGAATTTGAGGCTCTATTGGCTACACGAAATGGAACATAACCGACCTCCATGAACAGATTTGAACCAAAGATATAAAATAAAAATGACTGAGAAGTTTTTCTTAATTTCTGGTTTAAAAAAAGAAAAGAAAATCTGAAAGTTATCGAGCTTATACCTCTGGTTTATATGAATTATTTTAAAATTAACATATAACTATGACACGACGAAAGAAAATTGTTTGGAATTAGAGTTGTGATATATTACCTTATTTTTGTTATAAGGTTTAGGAATGCCCATCATCCGAAAAACATGTATCCTCAGCTCTGCGGTGTAACAGAAACCGGTGTGAGCTGGTATCATCAACTTTTTCTCCTGAAACTGAATGTATAATGGTATCTTAATTATTAATTTTCGTTTTTAAAATCTAGTATTATTCACTAATGTTTGATCAAAACGGCTTAGATCATAATTTTTATGAAAAAAAGATTTCCAAGTTGTCTTCCAAAAAAGTCTGATTTTTTTCCTCTGATGAGTATATAAATTCATCTAAGGCCTGTAACATAGCAACCCTTACTCCAGTCCACGGTTACTGTTATTTATTAAACGTGATTTTCACTAGGCACTTGTTTTTTGTTCTCGCATTACATACTTTGTTAGTAGAAGGTGTATCTTGAACAATTACGATTGTGAATGACTAAAAAATTCGGCTGAGTTCAAGGAGAAGATTTCTTAATAAAACTCTCTTACCGAAAATATCGTACCGGTTAGCATTTTTGAAGTGCCTTTCATTTGAATATTTTAATAACATTAAAAAAAAAATGATTCTAAAACTTTAGTTCATGTTTTCTGAAATAATTAATAGAATCTGGTGCGAGCAACACACTACTTTCACTTACCGCTCTACTTTGAATATAAATTATTTTCTGACAATGCTGAACTATTATACAATTTTTAAAGTGCATTTCAAACGGAGCTAAAGCTTAAAGCTTACAGATAACAAATCATTAAGACCATTACAATTACAAAAAGTCTATTTATAATATCAACTTCAGTCTCTGAGCCTTACAGATGACAGAATGAATAACTCCTATATCAACATTTTTTAGTAATGTCATTTAGTCATTCTAGTTGAAAAAGTTATCTATACAGACAGTGAGTAAGTTGATTCCGAAGTTGGTGGTTGCAGTGTTGAAATATAGAACTGTGAATTAAGTTATAAATTTTGCCACTAGAAACATCACTAAAATTAATAATAAAGAATGTAAGAAATTGGAGTTAGTCATTCTGTCAATCGAAAGGCTCATATATACCTACAGATGTTTGAAAGTATATCTGAATATTTAACCTATAAATAATTATGGATCGTAGGACTATTAGTTATTAAACTTTTATTTTCTATTGTAAAGTTTACTTAAACAAAATTACGAGATTTTCATTGCCTTGCTACGGATAGGTCAAAAGTTGTCAGACTACTTGTAAGTGCATAATGTTGGGATTTCAAAAAGGGAAAATTCATCAAATTATTCACTAATTTAATTTTCTAAAAGGTTACTTGATGATTTTTTTGGAATAAACGGATGATAGATATCCAATAATTTAAATATTATATCTTATTTAGAGTTAATAATCTATAGTAAATAAATCTATAGTAAATATATTTGAGGTTATAAACATATTCATGAAATATTTTTATTTTTCACTTCTTCTTTCACACATGTACAATGAAATACTATTTTAAACAATGGCATTGGCTTGATTCGGTGGATTTTAAATACTTTTTTTTTCAATCTTAGTAAAACATTTAAAAGTTTACATATAGTAAGAAAATATCATTAATTTCCATGAAAACATGTGATTTACTTTAAATAATGTTAGTTTCCTGACATTATTATTTATAATGTTTTCGCCACTCTACCTTCTACAACTTTCTATATTAGATATTGTTTTTTTTTCTAAAATTCTTTGCTTTCCAACGGTATATTATACATAGATCTTCTGACTGGTATTTCAGGAGATTCATTTTCGACCTCGATAAGCAGTTTTATTTTTTTCTCCTTTATTCAACCTTCGAATTCTTTCAAAAGTTATATTTAGCATTTTTTTGTAACTCTGTATAACTTGAGATGATTATTTTTTTTAAAATAAACCAAATTGAAGGTGCTTTAGAAGACACATGTAAGGCATACACCTATCTTAAATACGTAATATCAGTTTCGTACGACTTTTCGTTTTTGAGCTAGACTGCTAACATACACATACACAGACCATTTTTCGGGACTTGGTTATTTGGACTCAGAGTACCCCAAAACGTATATTTTCGTTGAAAACTTAGATTCACAAATTTTCACGATCGCAATACTTACCCTTACTATATATTACATATACACGTAAGTGAAAGTAAAAACTTGTAGCGGTGGTATACCGGAATGGGTATTCACAGATATCAGCTTTATTTATATATTTCAAAGAATTGATGTAATTCATTTTTTACATGCGATTTTAACCAACATATAACTGGTTTAACCTAAATTAATTCAGTGAAAAAAAAAGATAATTAACTGATTTATCAAAAGCAGTCTTAAGCAATAACGCACACAGGCTTTGATTTGATCTTTAAATAAAGTAATGCTGAACTAATTTGCCAACTGGTGAAACTGAAGGCCTTCTCGCCCAAACCTCTCTCTTTCGTACTCAACTAAGTGATTTAAACGAACTTTGAAAATTTACTTGACCACTTTTTAGGTCACCTACTATCTATAAAAAGTATGATATATTACATTTTTCGAAAAGTATGATGTATTACAGATATAATTACAAAAATTGTCGGAATTGAGGCGTTTAACTTTGTTTATTTAATTAGGAACTAAAAACTCATGAATACCTATTTGCTTTCCACTTGAATCGTAAGATAATATGATCACAAAGTTGAAAAAAAATATCTAAAATATATATTGGACAGTTTGCGTGACCCCCCAATGTCAAAACAACTCCCAAAATGTCAAAATAACGAGATTATATAGGCCATGAGTCCCAATACTTTTGTAGGCCACATTTTTTTTTTTTTACTTTGTGATCATATCATTTAACGATTCAAGTGGAAAGCAACTAGGTATTCATGAATTTTTAGTAACTAATTAAACAAATTTTGCCGATTTAAACAATTTTAAGGAAAAAGCACTTTTCTACAAATATTTTTTTTTACTATTAATGGAAACTAATCGTAATTTTTTAGGAATACTTAATGCAGAAGACTGATAATTCTATATCAAACCATTTTACTATGAACACTTTAAATTATTACAGAACTAATTTCTTTTGTCTATGATAAAATTTATTTTTTTTTTATAACAGCTAATTGCAATTTGAGTGAAAGGAGAATTATCTATGGAAAAAAGCTGCTATTTTAAGGATAATATATTTGAATAAAACTTTTTTTTCATTTGTTTAACACATCAAGAACGAAAAGAATTTATTTATTTATTAACCAAACAAAAATGTGGAACATTAGATTAAATTTGCAATCTGCAAATTTCTTTGCAATAAGCAAATTTTTTAGCAGCTTCACAGCTTCCCATCACGTCCGGGATATAAATCAGATCAGCAGGTCTCTTGGCCAACGCCTACGTAATCGTAGTGGTGGGCTGTACGGGTTTCTTGTACGATGAAGGATTTCTGTCAGAGGATTCATGTTGTACGACAGTCTTTGGTCAAAGTTATTGTAGTTCTCTTTTGCAGTATCTAAAATTGTAGGTACGTTTAAGTCTTTATGTAGTGTATCATTTGCGACATAAAAAGGTGCGTCAATTATCCTTCGCAACACTTTTGACTGAAAGGACTGAACTTTTTTAATGTTGGAAGTTTTAGCAGAACCCCACAGTTCTATGCCGTAAGTCCAAATAGGTTTAAGTAAGACTTTATAAAGGGTTAGTTTGTTAGTTAAAGATAATTTTGAACGTTTGTCAAGTAATCTGGATAAGAAACCGTATCGTCTGTTTAATTCTATTCGTTTTTTTCTGATGTGAGTCTTCCAAGTAAGTCTTTTGTCCAGGTAACAACCTAAATACCTAATTACATCTGATGTTGGGATTTGAATGTTATTAAAATATATTTCAGGGGAAGGTTTATGGTTAAGAGTGAATGAATGAATGAACGAAAAGAAAAAGACAAATCCATTCAAATGTTTTTTACATCATTCGTCTTTACCAGTTAATATTACATAGTTAATAATTAAGTAATGTAATAGATTTTCACCCTATCTTTTTTCGAAGTATTCTTTCGGTTCAGTTCTTTGTTTCCTATTTTCTTCGGTGCCTCTTTTTCAGGCTCATAAGTCAAGGATGCTCCGTCGAGTTGATGAAGATTAGGAGATGATATTTTTATTATCTCTTTGTAACTTGCAACAGTCTGTATAGACATAGGTAAATGTTTTAAATTGAAACAGAATGTAATACATTAGTTCAATCCGGAATCAGGACTGATTAAATTGAATGCTCATCTGTGTAATGTACATTGTAAAACAAATGTAAACGAGGCAGTTTTATTTGAATTATTATTTCAAATGTATTTTTTTAACAAAACTATTAAATATTTTATTTAAAACATTATATAACTGAAACATATCCCTGTTGTGAATTATAAAGTTATGTTCTATACATAAGTAAGTGTATTGTTTTTTACTTTTAAGCTTTCAATAATTCCTGTAATCGCTCAAGAAGCTATAGCGGATCCAGCCAGGGGACGCGCCCTCCCATGCAGACAGGAAAATTTTTTTTAAAAAATTCCAAAAAAACAGCTATTTAAAGAAAAGAGAAAAATAGGGAAAATTCATCATCATTGACGACGAATTTCCTAATATAATATAAAAAACGATATTATCGTGACTGACTTCAAGCGAATTCTGCCGGGGAGCATACCTTCCCTTGTATGGTGGAGAAAAAAGTGACAAAAAACAGCTATTTAAAGAAATAAGTAACGTAGGGAAAATTCATCTTCATACACGAATTTCCTTATGTAATATAAAAAGAAAATCTATCGTGACCTGCACTAGCGAATTCTGCCAGGGGGCGCACCCTCCCTTGGATGGTGAAAAAAAAAAAATCCAAATAACACCTACTAAAACAAATGAGAAATATAGGAAAAATTCATCCTCAAAGACGAATTTTCTAATGTAATATATAAAAAAAGTTATTATTGTGACCAGCACTAGTGATTTCTTCCATGGGGCGCGCCCCCCTCTGGGTATTAGAAAAATAATTCCAAAAAAAGATCCAGAAAAACATCTATTTACAGAAAAGAGTGATGTAGAGATGTATGATAGTTTTTGAAGAATGATGTATGATAGCTTTTGGCCGCCGTGAAATGCGAAGGCATTTGCTCCTTTCGCAGTTTGTTCCAATTGACTCAGAACTGAGTCTCGCAGGTGAAATACATGATGGAAGAAAATTTATTTAAAAAACTTCATTTATTCTGTTTAACCACCTTTTATTCGAGCATCAGAAAATATGAGTTTTCTTTCGGACCCAGTTTTTACTCAGTTTCAATAGAACTGAACGCATTGCAACCTTCAGCAACTATAATCTCCTTGAAGAATCCATGCGAGTCATAAAACTGGTCTCGATAATAATTTGTATGTTTCTCATTAGAATGTGTTGTTATTTTATTAAAATAGCTGCTGTTGGAAACGTTTTTATGAAGGAATGTACTAATTATTTAGTCATCGATTTGTCCGGAATGGGAAATTATTCTGAGTTTTTTTTTCTAAGAGAAGTCATTTCCAAGCTGCAGGGCCATTTTAAAGTATCTCAGATTTTGACAATATCGATCAAAATTAGCGTTCATTGACCGTGGTTATCGACCATATCACTTAATGAAATTATTAAGTTTAGATACTCGTTCAACGCACAATTTGACGTTTTTTAATTTCTTAAAGAATAAGTTTTTCGCTTAGATGGACTGTTTAGTAGTAATACATGAAAAAAAAAAAAGATCAGCTAAGTCTGGAATTTTCGGTTGCAAAATTTTTCTCTTGGTGACCCATGTTAGCAATTTAGTGTGTTACATGTCTAAACAGGGTGTCCCGTAAGCAGAGGGAAATATTTAAAGGAGTGATAGCAAAACTCAATAAATACAAAAAAAGTTTATATAAACAATTGTTTGATTTTTAGCAGGAAAGAAGGGAATTAAAGTTTTGTGATTTTGTACGTGTCACGTTTTTTGTTGAATAGGAAGTGATAAAAAAAATTAATTGAACTAATTAATGATATCTTCACTGAAAACTAGTCAATATTTACTCTAAATAAAAATAGAGTTTGCTTTTGTTAAAATCATTTAAAGAGGACTTTTGAGCGGCTAAAATCAGCTAAGGAGTGGGGGGAGGAATGGGTAGTGGTGGGGGAACGTGTAGGGGTGGGTGAAGCACGTGGTACAGTGATGCGCCCTTCCTGAGAAAATTTCTAGATCCGCCACTGTCAAGAGGGTGGTTTATCGTTAGGACTTGATTTCATGCTGTGCCCTTCAAAATTACTGTTATTTAAAGATGTATTTAAATTAAGGAAAATTATAATTATATAATTTAAATATATCTAGGTGAGAGTATAATAGGACAGTGCATACAAGTCGTGGAAACATACACATTATATTCTTGAATAAAATAAATTAAATTTAAAAAATCGCACAACCCCACGAAAACTGCGCCTCTGGTAACTCCTGGCATGTGATGTGCCTACTGGGTTTTATATGCGGTGTGTTTTATCTCCCAGATGAGCAGGCTGTTAGTAGAGTGAAAACAGAGATTTATTTTGTTGTCTACTGTTCAATAAAATGAACACCCTTAGGTTTGATTCAATACACGTAAAAAAAAAGTGACAACATTTTCCATTTTATTCCGCAATTATGGGTTTAACAAAAGCATCCAAAAGATTTAAACTGTTACGAATATTGTCTTGACTAATGTCAGATAAAATATTGGGTACTTACCGAAAGAGGATTTCCTTTGAGAAAGATACCTTCAAGATAAGTACAGTCACTAATTATATTAGCAACTTTAAGGAAACTAGAAAAATTATTGTCACTGAGATCAAGTACGCATAATTTGTTTAAGAACGTTAGTCCTTCCATTTTGCTTTCTAGAACAAAAAAAAAAAAATAGTCATGCTTGTTAGAGGTAGTTGTTATACCATGTTATTCTTGTTTGGTTAACTGTTTTTATATTTAATATTATCAGCTACTGTGGATCTTGGATTTTAACAGAAAAAGCTACCGTCCTTATATTCATTCTAGGACAGCCATACTGCAAAATGTTCGGATCAATCTTGGTCTCGCGTATTTAAAAAAAAAAAACTTAACGTTATTTAAAGCATTTTATCTCCGTCTTAAGCAAACAGTAAAATTGGACAGAAAATCTAATTCATAAAATAAGGTTTATGCGTTGACTTTCTTCTCTTGAATAAGTTCAGTTTTTTCCTTTACATGTTATTGCAGTGTGGCCATTGATATACAGTATAGATATTTCTAAATATATTGAAATGTTAAATTCGATATATCAAAAAATGATGACGATATTTCGGAATATTCGGAAGGGCTCGATATTTTTAATATTTGGAACGAGTATAGCTCAGAGAGTTCGTCATCATGAAACTGAAGTTGTATCAAATGTGGGTAGAAGGTTAATTTTTTTTCTTGAATGGGATATGGCTGAGGTGCAAAATCCAAATTTTCGACTGCAGCGTCCATGTCCCTCTCCTCCCTCCCTGATCACTTTTTAATATCTCCAAAATAGCTATATTTCACATTTTTTTGTTTTTTCCTCAATCTGACCATGAAGGACCACGTTGTAGAAATAAAACATTCATTATAAACATTTTTAATTGGATTAAATTAAGGCCACAACGGACATTTAATAGTTTAGATAAAGGTTTTCAAATATTGGAAAATTTTCTGAACTTTAATATTTTTAGCTATTTTTCATGTTTAATCATATGCAATTGTCTTAATATCATCAATAAGCTGTCTAATATGAACCAGTGATATAATAAGTTAATGTTACTACAAGCGTTGGGAAGCTGAATTATTGCTTTTCAAAACTATACAGACAACTTTTAGATTTATAAGGAATAAATATATATATATATATATATATATTTATAAGATATTAAAACTGCTAAATATATATATTTATATATATATATATATATATATATATATATATATATATAAACTATTTATTTTTTTACCATTTCGATTTGAATGATCACCCCAACCATCCTTCTCTTTAATGTTTTTATTAGTGATGTATGAGTTATACTAAACAACCCATCAAATATTCATTATATATACTTCAGATTAGGTGTATATTATTTCAGTTTGTAAAATAGGTATTAATATGACTCATTTCCGGTGAAGTATATATAATATAAATTAATTCTTAGAGGAATTATTAAATATACAAAACAAAGTGTTAAATAGCAAACGTTAAATAAATAATTATACATAAATATTTAATAAATTAACAAAGTATTTTTTAATTAAGTTTTACTATTATAATTATATCATTATTAAAACAAAGACCTTCTTAAACGACCTCCGTATAGAATAAAGGAAATTAAATTTTTAAAAAAATAATAAATAAAAAAATTTTTATTTTTTTTGACAATTAAATTATTGCATTAATATTTGTTCGTTAATAGAATCAATATAATGTACCTAAATCATTATTATAGAACTATAACTAAGCCACATACCCGGTGGGCCAGACCCCCTTACCGTGCACCACCCTCCGCCCCCACATCCCTATAAATTGTATATCGTTATGTTCCTTTTGACAATTTATTAAAAAAAAGCCAATGTTCCCACAAAAAAAAGTGAACGAACTGCCCCAAAATGGCGTCCAAACATAGCGGATTGACGACTTTGACTTTAGTTAGTTTTTTTGTTACTGAGAATCAGCATTTGGCTTAATTTCATTATAGTTGGCATTTTATTAAAGCTGGATAGTCAGAGAATAAAAAACATGAAAAAATATTAAAAACTAGTAGGCTTAGGCATTGAAAAAAATCGGTAAAGTCAATTTTTTTTACAAAAAAATTTTCAAGTTGAAAATCAAGCGTCGTTTGTAATTAAACGGTCAACAATAATGCAAAACGTGCTGAAATAAAACATCTGGAGAATACATTTATCTTTCTAAAACAATGATTACTTTTTAAAATATTTGAAGTAGTTCCGTATAAAATGTACTTAAGCGGCAGAAAAGCGCTACTGGCGTGGGTTCCTACAGGCCTCTACCACATCACTCAGTACTCATATATGGCTTATTTATAGTGCTATAATAACTTTTTTGTTATATTATATTGATTATATTAACGAACAAATATTAATACAATAATTTAATTGTAAAAATTTTTTTTTTAATTTATTATTTTTGTTTTTATTTTTCATTATTATTTTTTTTTTAATTTAACTTCATTTATTCTATACGGAGGTCGCTTAAGAAGGCCTCTATTAACACAATTATATAATTATAATAATAAAACTTAATTGAAAAATACTTTGCAGAATATCTTGAATTTTTTATTTAATATTTGCAATTTAACATTTTGTTTTATATATTTACTGATTCTTAGAGGTAATTTAAATTGTATATACTTCCCCGGAAATGAGTCATATTAATATCTGTTTTATAAACTAAAATAATATATACCTAATCTGAACTACTTTTAATGAATAGGTGATGGATTGTTTAGTAAAATTCATATATCGCTATTAAAAAAAAAATTTTTATTTCCTTTATTTTATTCGGAAGTTGGACCATATCATAAAAAATAGGAACTTTTAATATTAAAGTGCATTATTCCCTCTGCACAAAAGAAATATGGAAAGGGCGAAGCTATAAGTTCTTCTAGCTAACTGGAACTGATTGTTAGTATTTGGTCTCAAAATTGAACCCAACCATTGGAAAAATACATTAAGCGAACGACAGTGGCAAAATTTCGGAAAAGAAAACAAGGATCAGTATCTATTATATGGCTAAACGAATATATAGTAGACAAATAAACAGAATATTTCAATATGCTGCTAAAAGGGGGTCAAAATGCTTGATCAGTTTGGATGATATTAAGCAGGTTTATTATGGTGAAGACCAACAAGAAAGATTTGTTCTAGGCAATTGGCAAGTCAGCTGATCTGGAAGAAGTAACCCGAAATGCTGTGCGTACAAAGGCTACAAATGTATTAGAAAATTATATGAAAGGGCTGTAGTTTTGTCCCTTTACAGGAAATGAGATACTAGGAAATGTTATTCGAGATTCCTTACTGTTTATAGTACCAAAGAAAGTCTACTCGAGAATCGTAGAAGCTAAAATTAGAAATATTGTCGATTGCCTGAGCGATATGGATTGAGAAACTCAAGTTGCACATTGGAACATAAATTGCAAATTGGGACTATCTTCAGTTTAAGGTAGGTTATCGAGAAGTCCACGAGAAAGAAAAATGGTTCTCTATCTGCTTAGTGCCTCACACTTTGGATTGATCGAATATTTACTAGTCTTTCACAAAAGGTCGTTTTCCTTTCAGATTCCTTCAAAAATCTTTTGCAATCGCACTAAGCAGGAGGAGAGCTATTTTCCTTTATCGATAGACCTGTCTATAACCTGCTTCAAAGTGAAGATAGTCCCAATGTACAACTTCAATAGCAATCTAAAATAAAGTGGTTTACACCATTATAAACCTCACTTACTTCCTCCAGAGCTGCTTGCCAATTGCTGAGAACAAATCTTTCTTGCTGATAAAGTGGTCTTCACCATAATAAACCTGCTTAATATCATCCAAACTGATCAAGCATTTTGACCCCCTTTTAGCAGCATATTGAAATATTCTGTTTATTTGTCTACTATATATTCGTTTAGCCATATAATAGATACTGATCCTTGTTTTCTTTTCCGAAATTTTGCCACTGTCGTTCGCTTAATGTATTTTTCCAATGGTTGGGTTCAATTTTGAGACCAAATACTAACAATCAGTTCCAGTTAGCTAGAAGAACTTATAGCTTCGCCCTTTCCATATTTCTTTTGTGCAGAGGGAATAATGCACTTTAATATTAAAAGTTCCTATTTTTTATGATATGGTCCAACTTCCGAATAAAATAAAGGAAATAAAAATTTTTTTTTTAATAGCGATATATGAATTTTACTAAACAATCCATCACCTATTCATTAAAAGTAGTTCAGATTAGGTATATATTATTTTAGTTTATAAAACAGATATTAATATGACTCATTTCCGGGGAAGTATATACAATTTAAATTACCTCTAAGAATCAGTAAATATATAAAACAAAATGTTAAATTGCAAATATTAAATAAAAAATTCAAGATATTCTGCAAAGTATTTTTCAATTAAGTTTTATTATTATAATTATATAATTGTGTTAATAGAGGCCTTCTTAAGCGACCTCCGTATAGAATAAATGAAGTTAAATTAAAAAAAAAATAATAATGAAAAATAAAAACAAAAATAATAAATTTAAATAATTTTTTTTTACAATTAAATTATTGTATTAATATTTGTTCGTTAATATAATCAATATTATATAACAAAAACGTTATTATAGCACTATAAATAAGCCATATATAAGTACTGAGTGATGTGGTAGAGGCCTGTAGGAACCAACGCCAGTAGCGCTTTTCTGCCGCTTAAATACATTTTATACGGAACTATTTCAAATATTTTAAAAAGTAATCATTGTTTTAGAAAGATAAATGTATTCTCCAGATGTTTTATTTCAGCACGTTTTGCATTATTGTTGACCGTTTAATTACAAACGACGCTTGATTTTCAACTTGAAAATTTTTTTGTAAAAAAAAATGACTTTACCTATTTTTTTCAATGCCTAAGCCTATTAGTTTTTAATATTTTTTCATGTTTTTTTATTCACTGATTATCCAGCTTTAATAAAATGCCAACTATAATGAAATTAAGCCAAATGCAATTGCAAATACAATTTTTCTCAGTAACAAAAAAACTAACTAAAGTCAAAGTCGTCAATCCGCCATGTTTGGACGCCATTTTGGGGCAGTTCGTTCACTTTTTTTTGTGGGAACATTGGCTTTTTTTTAATAAATTGTCACAAGGAACATAACGATATGCAATTTATAGGGATGTGGGGGGGGGGTGCATGGTAAGGGGGTCTGGCCCACTGACTAACACTGATAAGCACTGAATGGTGTGGTAGAGGCCTGTAGGCACCCACGTCAGTACCTATATCTTCTACGGAACTGCCCGGTAGGGGTGGTCTGGTCCACAGACTAATGAAATTAATAAAAAAAAACTTAAGAAATCATTAAATATTTTAAACATCACTTCATAGAAAATATCTATGAATCCGTTGCATTAATTAGAAGAGATGACCAGAAATAAAACACATTTAGCGAAGCGACACCCTACAAGGAAAGACCTCGAACATTTCTCAGTTAAAAATAAAATTATTTCTAACAATCTTTATATTTATTTATTTACATTGCGTTAGCAGGATTTTAACTGTATAGCAAGTGGATTGGCCAAGTTTTGTATTATTAAACTGTTTTTCCTTATCATAGACACTGCGGCGCTCCCAGCAAATTATGGCACCTTGTCTTCAGAAAAAAAAAAAAAAATCGTACAAGATGATTTCAGCTCGTAAAGTGTTTGATAAAAAAATATTTAAACAAAAATTATTGATTCGTCATAGTTAATAGTATTTGTTTTAAACATCAATTAGCAATACAATGTGAGATTGTTCAGTGCCTTTTAACAGTCCCTTGCCAGTGAGTGCCTTTTTTTTTTCTTCATTTCCTGGTTTAAAAGTTCTCATAAAATTGAAAACTTAATGTGCCCCCCAAAAACATTTTAATGGCGCAACTTGCGCTATAGAACCCCCTCTGGGATCCCTGCATGTACTGAAAACGCTTGGATCAGGCTGAGGCATTCAGATCAATTTGGTAATGAATGCACAAGCGGTTTAATATTGTTTATTTTGGCGTCTCTCAAGTCATTGGCTATATCTGACAAAATTGCAATAGTTTTGAATACTCCTCATTTACGTTTCTTCTTTCCTCCTTCCTTCCATATTTTTTGTATACATCATAATTCTCTGATATGTTTCCTTGATGCATTATTATCTGAGGCGCCTTCGATTCCATCTTTAACCTATGTAATTTTTCCTGTCTTCCTTGGTAAGCGTGGTTCTTCAGAGGATATTCTCAGGGCCATCATAGCCTTCGTTTTCCTCTCTCTGTTAATTAGAAATAAAGATGGAGTATAACACGAAATATGGAGGAATACAATTAAACTTAACTTTAGTATTTATTTGATTTTTTGATGTTCAATCCAACTTTTATACTTAATGGGAGCTAGATAAAATAAAAAGATTAATAAAAATGTATTTACCATCTGAAAAACAATTTGAACTAAGCCCTAGATAGATAAGCTGAGGTGCTATTTTGCGCTTAATTTTTATTTCGGAAATGAGATTATTGTTAAGTTCAAAGATTCTTAATGACGCCGGCAGGAAGTCAAACCGCAATTCTTCGATAACATTTCCAGTCAATACTAGAACTTGGAGATTATTCAGCTGGTTCATATGTTTATCTAGAGATCCAATCTAAAAATAATGAACTAAAATTGAAAATATATTTTGGGTTATCACTATTTAATTATTCACAACCATTAAGCAGGAAAGATTGAAGCTATGTTTTATAAGGCCTTTGGTATAAAATGTTGGGCAACTTCCTAAATTCTCTAGTTTCATCGATGGAATCCATCACCCGATTGAATCCAGTATAGATAGTTAGCGAATTATGATGAAATTAGGAACGACCTGATGGATTTCTTGTAACACACCTGGAAGGTTACAAAATACACACAAAATTAAAAAAAGTAAATACCTACCCACTGAATTGTTAAATATCAAATCAGAAACGATTAAATACAGGAATTAAACTGAATATAAACTTATAAAAGAAAATTGAGAACTAACAACAATGTGGTAACGCCCAGCGAATCCATCTATCTGTGTGTGATTCATTCTATGAATAAAGGTACTGAATTCCATCGATGGTTTCAATTAATGAATTTAAGAACGGTTTGTTTGATTTAAAATGCCAACGATGAGCTTAGCGATAAGTTTAGGAATCTGCCAATACATTTATAGTAGAGAATAATTAGTGCCAACCTTAGACAGTTGACGCTCTCGGTCAATTATGCCAAAAGCGCCTCCTCTCTGTTTACTTAATTTTTTTTTGGATAGGATAAATTTTATTTAATTAGTTTTGAGTAAATTATTATAATTTGGCAACAAGTGGCAGTAATCGAAATTGGGACCAGACTCCTCCCGACTGATTCCTTCAGAACTGCCCTGTACTTCTAGCTGTCTCAAACTGACTCTCCAGTCTCACTCCAACTCCCTGGCTTCAACTGTTGCTCTCGCTGTCTCTCATTCGTAGGGTCCCCTCCTAGCTTGGTTCCTCCTCCACTTTTCTCTCTGCCCATGGATTTTGCGGTTATCTTTCCTCCACTCCTAAGGCTTTTCTATTGGTTGAAGTTGATCCTTCCATCAAGGTGCATCGGCTGTCTGTTGAAGGCTAGGAATATATTTACAATATGTAATAAAGCCTAATGGAATGCATTAGGTTTTATTACACCCTAATCGACGTTTCGGCCAAGAACCTTATCTGAGCGGTAGGTTCAGATACCCCTGGAGCCAGGGCCCAAATCGACCTGATCGCAGGAAAAGGATTGAATGTAACTTGTGAAAGCTTATGTTATTCCAAGTAAAATGAACCTTGTCTACCATTCCACTGCTTTCAAAAATAGCAGCTGATTTAAAGAATATTAGGCCAGTAATTTGAGGATCGAAACGGTAAATTTATTTCGAAAAATGTGAGAAATGTTTATAGTATTTTAACTTGTATATATGGATTGAAACACGTAAAAATCAAAATTGCTAAAGGTGGTGGATCTTTGGGCCCTGGCTGCAGAGCTAAGATGGGCAATCATTATAATTTTTCTAACTGACTCTATTTATACTAAATTTTTAAATATATTTAGAGGCTTAGCGAACCCGAAGGTTCGATGCCGACACCACCAATCGCTTATTACACACCTCCTTCCGCCGTACGCCCTCCAAACCCAGTCCCTTCAGATCGGCTTTAATGCAACCTTCCCACCTTCGCTTCGGTCTACCCCTCGGACGCTTACCATTCGCCACAGCAAATATTAACCTTTTAGGAATTCTCTCGTTACTAAGACCAACAACTTTACAAGCCCATTTGATTCGCCGCGATGAAATTACCTCAATTATATTACCCGGATACAGTTCACGCAATTCGGCGTTGTGTCTGAACCGTCTGAACTCTCCGGTTAACTCATCCTTCTTCGGTCCGAATATTCTACGCAATACTTTATTTCTACAATACATAGCATTAGAAAATAATAATATTAATTTAAAAATAAATCATAGATTAACAAAAGCTCAATGATATGTTTTTCAAAATATTTTCATAAGTTAAACGTCTGACCTCATTTTAAGCCTCTTTTTATTAACCTATTTTCATATTTAAATTTATTTATTTCAAACAGTGGTCTATGGTATCTTACATTAATATTAAATAGGATAACTATAATCAAAATCCAACGAGTTTTGAAGGCCTTTAAGAATAGTAAACAAATGCAACCATTAGTTCAAGTAACGAATAAAACAAAAAATGAAAAGAGACAACCTTATACAGTATACAGTGTTCTATTTTTATTCTTTTTTTACTTTATTTTTATTTTATCTTATGCTGGTTGTAGAAGCTTTTAATAGATTCGAATTCTGGTTGGCCAATACAATGAACGATAAACATACCGATTATGAAATTAATAAATGAAGTTAATTTGCTTATATACATATAATTATTGTATAATCGTGTAGAACTCGATTACCTTCGAATCCCTTAGCCTCAACACCCCCAGGTATCTAAGAAAAGTTTGAAAGCATATTTCTTGATCACCTTCAGACCGAATGATTTCCCTAAGAAAGCTAACCATGTCATCGACAATGTCATTCAACGATTCATATTCTTCTTGATTATCTGGATCCAATATGGTTGCCCTTTAAAAAATATTAAAATAGAGATTTAAGACTATGTAGTTGGATTTTTTTCAATTATGACCTAACAACAAAGATAAGTTTTTTTGTAAAAGAAAGAAGAGAAAAACTCTTAAGCGAACAGTAAAGTATCGTATATAAATAAACGAAGCCTGATTTAGATATAACTTATGGGTGTTCAAAATTATTGGCTGAAATCCAACTGGAAAATCAGTGCCCCGCTTACTTCACACAATCCAGTTGTAACTCCCTCAGTTGCTGATTAACTGGCCCGCCTTTATTAAACTCTTTTATGAATTGGCCAGCGATGGAACTGCGGACCCTAGATATCAACACTTCCCAAAATGAAGAACCGCTACCTTTTTCAAAATCCTTCATTCGATTGCACATCTCTTCCTCGGTCCATATTACCTGAAAAAAATCCTATTATCCATTGCATTAAATTACATGGCCTATAATCGCTATTTATTATGAAATATTACTCGTAAAAGTAAACATTACTTAATTTTTGCAGTCCGCAGTTTAATTACAATACTTCTTAATAACCTGACAGGTCCTGAATCTAAAGAGTGAGGCTCCTGAGGTGTTCAAGAAGTGGATACAGGCCGCCCCAACATCGTAAGGTATTAAGGTTTGATAAAGAAGAAGAATTATCAAAGAAACATCGTACAATAAATCATTCAGATTATCTTAGATCAAATTTTTATGAAGTTGAAAAGTTTAAAATATGCATTATCGAAAGAGGTATATAATTTTTTTTTCTCAGTTATCGCCTCTATCTCTAAGGAACCATAAGCGAAATTATATTTTATATTCTGTTTATATGCTGTAATGTTTAATAATTTTTAAAAACGCCAGCACTTTCGAAATAGGTTCTTTCTAGATTCTATTGTCATATTCCTGTCATATGCTTTACGTTTCGGTGTTCAGAGGTGGAAGTGGAGCCTCTCGGAAGGTAAAAAGAGACAATTCATATTGATCCTCAATCCAGATTATAGGATATAAAGAGGACTTCTTCGTTGTGACATTTATTGAGTGTTTGTGTACCCTTTCTAAGATTTGACTCTCTTCAACTCCAAAATCCTTTCCTTCTCCTTCTTTCTCTTCTTCTTCGAGCCTATCGCTGGGCCTCAATCCAGCATTGCCAGTTTTCCCAGTCGCTGCTCAGCTGCTTCATTTCTGTGAGAGTCTTGCCTCTGTTACTCCCAATCCTCTTGATATATTCCTGATAGGAGATTCTTGGCAGGACACGTGGTCTTCTACCTGTAGGTTTAGCTTCCAGTGTCTTTCTGGGTTATCTCACTTCATCCATTCGACAATGATGGCCAAACTACTATAACTGTCTGTTTTCCATGATGCTGTTCTGAGCTTTCAAATTTTATGAATCTTGTCCATGAAAACCACGAATAGGAAAGGACTATATTCTTTGCATTTTGGTCAAATCTTATTCGCCAAACATTTCATCCATTTATCAGTCTGTTATAAGGTCAATATGACTGTAAGTATTTTTTTTTGTCTGCTTGTGTGTGTTTCTCTTTTTCTTCTAGCTAGGAACTCCTCAACGTATTCTGTTATGCTTCTTTTGGATCATGATTTTGTATGCTTAATTTTTTTCCAAATTTAGGACGTTGCATCCTTCATCAAACCATGGTTTGCTCTTACATCTTTCGTCAAAACCAATAGCTTCCTTCACCACATTAGTCCTTACTATTTCAATATCTTCACTCCGTTCTTCTTTTTTCAAGCCTACTCGGTAGCGGAATGAACAATCGTTGTACATTGCACCTTAAACTCAACAGCGATACGCGGTCTGCTTCTAGCTATGGGAACCATCGTATTTAATCCCGCTAAATAGGAATTCTGAGCATCAACCGACGGCAATGCGTTGAAGGGCCCAATGATATGTTTTCTTTCCTCACATGTAGTGTTTTGGAGGCATTTGTGGCGTTTGCAATGGCAATCCGGACCCAACTCGTGAGATTGTAAGCGCATTTTCTTCATAACATCAGCTACTCTTCCAGTCTTCTTTCTTTCTTAGATCTTCTTGGCTCATTCATCACTTCACCTTGAACTCACTCATCATTGCTTTATTGACAAACAATCCGAATCGAAAAAAAACCAAAAACAAGATTATAAACAACCTGTGAAACACGCAGGAAGGTGTGGTAGATAACAATAGACAAGGTTACATTTGTGACTCTCCTTGTTTTTTCCTGCGGCGCTGGGATTATTCTTGTTTCTTCCCTTTAGGCAAATTTTTCAACTTCGATTTTCATTATACTATCCTTTTTTTAAACCTAAGACTGTGTTACCAACTGATAGTAATCGTCAAGACCAACAGAATGCGCTGAATAACGAAAAATCGGAAAATTACTATCCTTGTATTTTCTCTGTACCCTTCAAATCACCTCGAGTTGAAATTTGATGGAAAAGTTGTTTTCCGTACGGCCTACGAAATATCGCCGGGTGTGTTTGGAAATCACTGATAATCGCTCATTGTAGAAGTGGTATGAAAAAATATTTCTAATATATGTAGTATTTAAAAAATATATGGTATGAAAAGAATTTAATTTTTTTTTTTAGAAAGAGCATAAGGCCCAAAAATATTTGTTTAGTGATCCAGAAAAACAGCATCAACACTAATATTTGAACCTTTGAGAATCACAAATTCATATTACTTACTTACTTACTTACTTACTGCTGGGCGCTACGTTCCTACAAGGACCTGGGCCACCTCAAGAACTCCTCTGGTCCTCCTCAAGCCAGTCATTCCTGTCTCTCGCTCGGGTCCTCCATCTTCTTACCCCGGCTAACTTGAGGTCCTCTTCAATGTCATCCAACCATCGAATTCTTCTCCACCACATGCCACTTTCTCTTATTGGCCCATATATTCTCAGGAGTATTTTTCTTTCCCAGACGTTGAGCTTCCTTTCACTTTCACTGGTCAAAACCCATGATCCAATGCCATATGTAACTATGGGTCTCAGTATGGTTTCATAAATCATGAGTTTTGCTTGCTTTTTCGGAAAGAGCTTTAGACTTTAATGTTCATTGTATGGCATAAAGGCACTTGTTTTCTGCAGCCAGCCTGGCATTCACTTCTTCTTTCATGATGTTGTCATGTGCAATGACTGCACTCAGGTACTTAAACGTTCTTGTACTTTTAAAACTGTGATCGCCAATCTGCAGATCATGGTACTGCAGTACACCAACACAGTTGTTGGTGCCTGGAAGTTTTTAAATATTTTGTTTATCCTTCATTTACATGAAGGCCCACTTCTGCTGCTTCCCTTTCAAACTCCTCCTAGCGCTGCAGTGCTTCTTGCCATTATGAGCACATCATCCGCATATGCCAAGTGCTGTGTGAGTCGATCTTAAATTGTTCCATTAGGGTTGGTTCGTATTGCCCTAATTACTTTTTTCAAGTCTAAATTGAAAAGGACAGGTGATAGTGGGTCTCCCTGCCTCAGGCCACTATTTACTGCAGATTTTTTCTGATAGCACTTCTTGTATTTTTATCTTAATCCTGCTATCGTGCATTGTAATTTTTGCTAGCCTGATGAGCTTCCTGGGAATCACAATTCAAGCATTATCTTTAGTAATTCTTCTCTCTCAATACTGTCGTATGCCTGCTTAAAATCGATAAACAAATTATTTAGGTCAACGTGAAATCATATTCTCTTTCAAGAATTTGTCTTAATGAGAATATTGGATCGATGGTTGATCTTTCAGGCCTGTAACCACACTGATAGTCGCCCACTATCTGTTCGGAAAACTTTATAAGCCGTCTGTTCAATAATACAGAGAATACCTTGTAGGCTGTATTCAGTAGTGCTATCTCTCGATAATTACCACAAGATAGTTTGCCGCCGTTTTTATGAATGGGGCATATCGCTGCCATTTTCCACTCCTCAGCTATTCTCTCTTCAAACCAAACATCCCAAACCAACTGGAATATATATCTTTTGAAATCATCCCTTACATTTTTGAGCATTTATGGTATTGATGCCAGGAGCCTTATTGTTCCTGAATTCGCCAATGATTTCTTCAACTTCTTCCTGTTCATGCGGCTCTACTTCTTCATCTCCTTCTCCGGGTACACCCAGTCGGCATTTCAGCTGCTTAATTCTTTCCTCTTCATCGCTTGGGTTCTACAAGAATTTCCCTGAAATATTCAGATCATCTCTGCAATATTTTAGCAGGCTCACCTATTATGGCCCTCTCTTTTATCTTGCAGCACGAGATATTTGGTTGGAAGCCTCTTTTCATTTTCTTAATGCCTTTATAAAACTTTGAGCTGTGATCATTCCGTCAAATGCATATTACAGATTTATTCTAAAGGAATTTCCTTTTCGATTTAGTGTTTTTCTCGTTATAGATTATTTTAATTCGGAAGCTTAAAACATTGTTTGGCAAGATTTCGATATATTAATATGATAAATTAAAGAAAAAGTTTTGAACGTTATTACATATTTTTTTGTTTTTGCTACACGATTTTGCACATTTTGAGCTTTTCTTAAGGTTTCAGAAGTTATTTGTTGAATACATTAATTTTCATAACACTGTTATTCCGTAAAAAGATATATAAATAATATTATGAAAATATAATCCCTATAAAGATATATGTATGAATAATGTTACTATTAGTGAATACCAGAGTTAATGCAGTAACATACCTCCCTCATTATTGCTTCTTGAATAGGTTCTTCGAAGATAGGCGACAGGATCTGGTAGAACTTGTGGATCTCAAGCAGAACGGCTGGACGAACGAATGATGGATGAACCTTCATTGATGCTGAGCGGCTCATCTGACAAAATGTTATTTCATAAAGTATTAATATTATTACACCTCCAGTGATTCAGGATAGTTTAAGAGGTTATCTTTTACTTCAATTCATACATACCCTGCGGATGAACCTGCTGGTCATTGCTTCTTGCTTAGGTCTACTTTCACTACTATCTTAATTGAATTGCAAATTTCATACAGAATTTCATAACATATGTTATTTTGAAATTACGTAAAAAAATAAAACGAAACTTAGTATCTGAGGATATACACTGCGAACTATGTTTTTATTTTGTACTTATTATTTGCTTCAAAAACTTATCGTAAATATCCTTAATTAAGAAAGATTGGAATATTTTTAATAAATAAGTTATAAAAAAAAAATATGGCAATAAAAGTATTTATTTGAAACTTAACAAAACGAATAGGGAACAACTCTTCAAAAATTTGTTTTCAAGATCTCATCAAAATAAGTTTAATTAAATATGTAACCATATCTCGGACCGATACATCAGAAAGGCTCCTGAGACCAATGGCTACATAGCAAGAGAACACGTGGCCAAACACCAGATGAAAAATCGAATAAACAAAGATGCTACAGAGTTGCCTGCTGAAAATTGGAAAGTGTGGCTATTACAGATTGGCAGATCAATTACCCTTTTAAGTACACAGAATCCAAAATGTAGTATACAAAAATAAAACAAAAAAAAAAGTCTGTCAAGTAAGGTCAGTATAGCTACCTCACCGTTTTCATTGGCTGAAATATTGAAATATTACAAGATATACAACTTTTCTTATAAGAATTCGAAGCCGATTCGGAAATACAGTTATCAACATTTGCGGGTTTGATATCAACAAATTTCGTTTATCAGCTACTATTAAAATGCGAAAGATTCCCGTATTTGAAGATTCCATATTTGATTATCCTTAATTACTTAACTACTGTTGGTACAAAAGGTCGTAAGTAAAAACTGATTGTTTTGCAAGAGAGTATTAAAACTCATTATTTCTTTATGGTTTATTTGTAAAATTTCATATTTTATTGGCATCTGCTATTTTTCATAGTAGCAGACTATAAAATGTCACCTTTAGCACAAATAGAAAAAAAGTTGAAAATGTTTACATTCGATCTTTTGCACTAATAGTAAATGTATTTCACTCGTAAAATGGATGGCACTAGAAAATCCATAGGAAAAATTCAACTTGTTGTTTGTTCGGAGTTAACGGGTCTAATACTTTCATTCAGTCAGAACAAAACACTTTAAGCAAGAAAATATAAAAATATTTGTGAAGTTCACATAACTTCGATATTTAAGGAGAAAATCGATACCAAGACGAACTGGTTTAACATTAATGGAAATAAACACAATCACAAATAAGTCATTGTATTTTTTACAAACAATGAATAGGTTCAGTTCGAATGGGAATCGTTAATTTTTCGTTGAAGGATTCTCACGTCAGGGTTTATTAGTACCGCGAGTTTATCCATTGATTGTATATTAATTTTGTTTTATAGCCTCGCTAACTCTTTTTTCAGAAAAAGAAATGGTAAAAAGGTGATGTGTTTGCGATTGCTGTCTGCTAATGAGAGGTATGTCCATTTTTTGGTTTATTATTTTCAATAATGAAACATTGTGATCAACCAAAAAATTCAAAAACATAACCCCCTCTCAAAATTTGAAGTTTCACGTTTCAAGATACGTAGAATTCGAAAAAAAAATAAAAAATTGTTTGTCCGTCCGCCGTACGCCGTCCGCGCATTTTCTCCGAAACTACTGGACCGATTTTTTTTCAAATTTTGATATAAAATCAGAGGTCACCCGAGGATGATCCTCCTTCATCGACATTACTCTCCGCCTTTAACTTTCAAAATGGCGGCCGAAAAACCTGCGTTGCTATAGACTGTAGCTCCTAAACGAATGTACAGATTTCAATGAAACTTCGCTAAAGTCATTTTCTCGACGCCCTTTAAATTTATCTATATTACATACTTGAACGAAAAGAAGCTGGAAAAAAAGTTACGAGGGATGTTAAAATTAAATTTAGAATAACTCGAAAAGTTTTTACTTTTTTGTTGTTATTGTGAGATGTTTCAAAGGTATTTAAATTTCCTAAAAAATGAAGGAAGTTTCATCGAAATCAAAGCACTATTAGTAGAGATATCGCGGTTTTTACATATTTTGGTTTATTATTTTCAATATAAATTGTAATTGTATGTGGTTTTTTTAAAAGTTTATGAAATTTTCTAAAAAAAAAAAAATCGTTAAAATCGCACAATTAGGAGCAAAGATTTGGTCTCTGGTTTGTTTTTATGTGTTCTATTCCAAATGTTATATCTTTGGTTTGGTTTTTAAATTTTAAATGTGTTACTCATCCTTTCCCGTCTCTCATCTTCTAATAGTTATTCAATCCTCTCGCCCATGAGTCCTACTTATTGGCTAACATCCCTCAAAAAACGTCCCGATATCCTGGATATATTTATCACCTCCCAGATTTCCTCCTCCCAAACTATAATCAAATCCCTGGATGACCTTTCTTCAGACCATAGTCCGGTTCTGCTTTCATTACATTCTGACTTTGCTCCTAAACCATCACCTCCCAAACTGATCACTGGACGAGTAAACTGGGACAAATTTCGTGATGATTTGGAAAACAAACTTGACCTCAAAATTCCACTAAAGACAAAAGAAGACATTAATGGTGCCATAGAAAAACTGACATCAACAATAACAGACAGTATAAATAATAATACCTTTATCAATAAGATTAATAAACCACAAAATACTAACTTGCCACAGCATATTCGCATCTTATTAAAGGAAAAACGCAGAGCAAGATCGAAGTGGCATCGAACTAGATACCCGACAGATAAAGCGCATTACACCCAACTGACTAACAAACTGAAATCAGAAATAAGAAAATACAAAATTCAAAATTTACTAAATTTTACTGAAAAACTTACACCTACCGATAAATCACTATGGACGACCACTAAAAGGCTCCTGAAATTTAAGGACTGCAACCATCCACTACTCACTGAAGCCCAAACCTGGTCCAAATCCGACGAAGAAAAATCCCAAATATTTGCACACCACCTCTTTAAAACCTTTAACCCACATCCCGATATTCTTAACCCAAATCACCTTGAATGTATTGAAGCAGAACTGGATATCCCACTCCAAATGACTCCTCCTCCTAAAGCCTTTCATCCTTCAGAAATATCCAACATCATTCACAGGTTACCTTCCCGCAAAGCTCCTGGACACGACCTAATTACATCCCAGATCCTAAAACTACTTCCTCGGAAAGCCATTCTATTCCTTACATATATATATAATGCTGTACTCCGATCAACATATTTTCCCGACCCTTGGAAACTATCCATTATCAAAATGATACATAAACCCAAAAAGCCACCAGAATACCCATCCTCTTACCGTCCTATCTCTCTTTTACCCATCATGGGAAAAGTCCTAGAAAAACTCATCCTAAAACGCCTGTACCCAATCCTAGATTCTAATCACATAATCCCAGATCACCAGTTTGGATTCCGCAGATCCCATTCCACTATCCAGCAATGCCATCGTGTGGTGGATGTTGTCTCCTCTGCATTAGAGCGCGGAATGTACTGCACGGGAGTCTTTCTCGATGTAGAACAGGCTTTTGATCGAGTCTGGCACCCGGGATTACTGTACAAACTCCGTAAATTCCTACATCCTACATACTTCCTCATTATCCGTTCCTATCTAACTGATAGATACTCAAAAGTCAATCACAATAATGCTTATTCATCCCTCTTTTCCCAGTCCGCTGGTGTTCCTCAAGGTAGTATCCTTGGTCCTATCCTTTACACAGTTTATACAGCTGACATCCCAACCCATCCTAACACTGTTATTACCACATATGCCGATGATACATGTGTCCTATCCGTTAATAATGACCCAACCATTGCATCCCAAACTCTTCAATCGCACATCACAAGCCTTGAAGAATGGTGTAAAAACTGGAGGATTAAAATAAATTCTAATAAATCCCATCAAATCACCTTTACCCTTCGACGTAAACCTATGACCTCATGTCCCACAGTATCCTTTAATAATACCCCACTTATCCCTGTTGAACAAATCCGATACCTTGGACTTCACTTGGACAAACGTCTAACTTGGAATCCTCATACCAGACTGAAACGACAAGAAACCGCTCGACGTTTCCGACTACTCCAACACTTACTAGACAAACGCTCTAAGCTTCCAGTAAATTACAAAAGACTTATATACATGACTACAATAAGACCTATTTGGACTTACGGAGTTGAGCTTTGGGGCTCCACTAAGCCATCAAATTCCTCTCGTATCCAATCCTTACAATCCAAAATCCTTCGGAAAATCCTCAATGCTCCTTACTTTGTCACCAATAAAATAATCCATAATGACCTTAATGTTCCTTATGTTTCCGATTTGGCCCAATCCAGATACCAATCTTTCCATAATAAACTTCAGAACCATCCGAATCCTCTCGTCTCTAACCTTGCTTCCTCTTCTATTCCTGATAACCCTCCGAGGCGTCTGAAAAGAAGATGGCCTCGAGATCTCTTATTGTAAATACATTTTGTTTTTAGAGTGCTACCAGTGGGTAGTTTCTCAACAAGTCATTTCATGTTTTTATTTTCTGTTATCAAATTTACTTAATGTATTTAATTTTTTAATACAGTTGTAAAAATCATGTATAAATAAATAAAAAATAAAAAATGTGTTACTGAAATAATGCTATTTTTTTTTTAGCATATCACTAATGATGAAAGAAACACAGTTTAGTCTAATAATTGGAATTACCTTTTTTTCTTTGTAACTTGGAAGGTAATGATACTTTAGATGTATAATTGTTTGGAGATAATAAACCATTGTGAAATCATTTGCAGCGTTTTTTTAATGAGTGTCCAACATTTATATAGGTGTTATCAGCGAAACATAGATTGCGGTAAAAGTTGTTATTACTATTACTATTGCAATAAAATACGATATT